AAAAAAAAAAAAAAAAAAAAAAAAAAAAAAAAAAAAAAAAAAAAAAAAAAAAAAAAAAAAAAAAAAAAAAACATATTCTTATTTCCGTATACAGTTACGTCACAGATCTGATAACGAGGTCCTTACCGATGACTGCAGGCGTGTTATCTTATCGAGCGTCGAATTTTTAATACAGTTTAGTAATATTTTTGTATCTTCATTTGCGATGCATTTCACTTGAGAAATTTCTCTCGAAGCGACTGCAATGCTTTTCTCAACGCTGGACAAGCATTTCATTATCTTTCCCATTTCGTCATTACCGATACACTCCGCCTGGTAAGCAGCGTCTATTGCTTGCAGTCTGGCATTGTCTGCTGTCTTTACAGCATGGAACGCGAGACTCGATCCACCGGATGTGATGTATTTATGGAAAAGACCTTCCGTCTTGTTTGAGAGCGCCAGGATATGGACCAATACGCCTCCGCTGTCGTGACCCCACAGGGTCACGGAATTTGCATCGCCGTCGAATGCATCTATATTTTCCTGTATCCAGTGCAGCGCCAGTTTTATATCCTTCAGGCCCCAATTGCCGGGAGCCGCGTCATCGCCGGTGCTGAAGAATCCTGGAGATTGAACCATTTTTTTTAAAATCAATAGTCCGTATTAATCGGACATATATGTGTGTGTTGTTAATACATACCGAAAGCGCCCAAACGATAATTTACGGTGACCAATATAATTTTGGTGTACATCAAATATTCAGGAGAATAATAAGTACTATTGTTACCGCCCCTCTTGAAATCCCCACCATGAACAAACACAAGTACAGGATACTTCGCGTCATGATCTTTCTTCAATTTCTGAAAGGCATCGTGTATGTGATTATCCGAGTATTATGGGATATATTTCTCGGACACCCGGTATGTATGAACCAAGTGCCAAGCGACCGATATACACAGTAACTAATGTGTCATTGCGTGCGTGCAAATAGGAGATCGCTCTTATCATCCAGTTGACCTAATTTTTCAACATCCAACATGCTATCACTGACACAATAAGGATTTTTGGAAAAAAAAAAGAAAAAAAGAAAATTTTCAAAATTACCTTAGGAACGAAAATATTCAGGAAGAGACAGTTCTCGTTACCGATCACTTCGTTTCTTTCATTCAATTGAGGGCACCTCGATCCGTCTTTAACGGCTGATCTAGTATAGTTCCAATGTTCTTTCCAAGGTTCAGAATTCTGTCGACGTACGTCATTTAAGTAACTCAATATTGAAATATAATATTTAGTATCACCCAATACACGATACTTTGCACTAGAATCATTTTTACCTTAAAACGATGTGTTCCATTTTCTGATGGCGCTTCCGCATAAGGAACTCCAAGAAAAGCAGCAACGGAAGGATTTTCTTTATGAGTTTTTATTTCTATCCACTTTCCTCTGATTTTACCAAACTTGGTCAGTCTAAAAGGATGAGCACTCGATGATACACTTTCCGCCAAAGTAAATATTGCAAGAATTAGCAAAATTATTTCTTTAGCCATGTCTCGCCTTTGCACTGATAGGTAATCGTAATAGGTAAAGGCAATCGCTAAATAATAAAAGAGAAATCGAAGGAATTTCGAAATTTGTCCATCGATCGTAATGATGTCTCAGTACCCTAACCTAATTCGTACCGTGCAGACGAATACGCGAAACTGAGCAAGAATTAGGCAAACCGCACAGACTTCTCTGCTTCACGATTCGAACCGTAACGTTAACTGTGGGAATAATTTTACCCACGGCACTAGATACAATAAATACAATACAACGACAACAGTTTAATTAGCGAACTAGGAGGATCCGTACTGATACTGGACATTGTGCTGTTGCGCGTCAGATTAAATAGCGTTGAGTTAATCGAATTAATTTCATTAAATATTATTTTAGCATACGAAATTCTCGCAATGTCATAACGATGATAAAAGTCATGTACGAGTATGTATGTTATAAGGATTAACTGGCCAATTTTATCATTATCATTGTTACACGTATGCATTACATCATATTACTTATTTAGAAGGTTAAGTGCTTCTCTCAGATGTATCAGGCTTAGAGAGATTAAATGTTCGAAATAGTTATTTTTGAAAGATAAAAATGTGCTTGGAATAATTACAAATTTTTAACATAATTTCATTATCATGAAAGATCACCTTACTGACACCCTTCCCAACGTAGGACGATTTTTTAATATTTCGTAATCCGTTTGAAAGTACAAGCCCTCAGTAGAAATTAGCTGAAGATATGCATATTTACGGGGTTAAATGATCCCCTTACTTTTGACATTTGATTTTTGAAATGGAGTAAAAATTATTTTAAAAATTGATCTAGATTGAGAAGCGTCACTTAGATGACTTTCCTTACGGGTATTCATAGGGAATTTTGATCTTGGCATTTTTATTAAATTTATTTATCGACGTTGGTAAACAAACGTAAATTATGAATTTTTGTATGCTGTGCTAATGCCTTTCATTCCTTGATAGCTTATATTTATCTTTATTTTTTTATCATTTTTTTTTTTTTTTCATTCCCGTCCCGTTTACACTGAAGTAAAGCATACTTAATTCAAGCTTCACCTTTACCATCGGAATCCCAAAGGAGCTTCCTCGGAACTCGAAAATCGCTCGACCGTCAAAGATCCGTTTCCTGCGCGCCCTACCGATAATTTCCTGCCGCAGAGCGAATCCTCCTGCGGGAACTTCCGCTTGTTTCGCCATGGACCTGACCAAGCCGCTTATCACTTCGACCTTCATTTATGTATTGTTTACGTGATTTTCTTTCCCGCCAGTTAACCCAGTCGAGTAAGATACATAGCTGATAGCAAAACAGATCACACAGAACTTCCGGTAGGAGCGTTTACCAGGTTTTTAGAATATTGAAAACCTGGAACCAGACCTAATCTAACAGACATTTCGAATTCCGTTAAGAGACAAAGAGGCCATGAATTTAAAAAAAAGTGTAGTTTATTAGAAAAAAAAAAGAAATTTTCCTTAACAAAAAATCGTATTATCAAGTTATACCGATTTGGTTAATCTTTCTAGTGTCTCCCGATTCAAACTTCCCGCGCTTCTCCACGAGCGCCATGCGAGAATACGGTCCGTCTATTTGTCGCCCGGGACTAATTGCCGTGTTCAGCCAGCCATGCATCACACGAAGGCGGTCGGGCTTGGCTGACTTCTCTGAATTACTGGTACGCGGAGCGCTTTATCGCTCTTAACGACGTTGCACTTTCGTCCCCACTTTCCCATCGGCAGCATCCCCGGACACCTTCGAGCGTATACGGCAGCAGCGGCGATCGTTTCCTCTTGACAGATTCCCTCCGCGAGTCCATTAATCTTCGAGATGCGTTCCGGTTCAAGAATGATCAAAGCTCCTGTCATTTCTGTTTATGTAACCAATAACGAATGCGAGACGCACTCGAATGAGTAATAGAATCGGCAGATGAATCTCCGACTGGTCCAAGTGGTGTCTACCAGTACCAACGTGGACATGGGTACGTACGATAGTAGGCAGAGCCCACGTAAACACCCGTTAGAGAGAGACGCAGAGAGACGTAGAGCCTACCCGTCGGTAAAGTAGAACACCGCTTGACCGACTTGCCAATTGCGGTTTCATTTTGAGGTTAGCTTGACTTGGGGGTTAGGTTAAATCTCTACGTTTAGGATTATACTGTCCGTTACTAGTTTAAACGGACAGTGGAAAGTGTTCGAGATGGTCGGACATATGTCTACTGTATATCCAGGGAGAGCCAGTGGTAAAGTCTGCGGTTGGTCATACGTATTGAGGTTAGGTAAAACTGTATTGTCTGTGAACAACGTCTGGTTAGGCACGGCGTATACGGTATAGACGTAGGTGGCATCGCGACTAGAGATTTCCGAGTTTGCGGCACGTGCCGGTTGTATTTGAAAATACATATTTGCAAAGTGGTCGATATCACGGATAAGCCTGGTTGGCTATGGGGTAGAGGCCGTGAGGGCTGCCGTGCTTCGTAAATTTTACGGGTAGTCACAGGAGACACCCTTTAGAGTTTCTTTTAAAATAACCCCGCTCCCATGCGGTTACTTTTGTCAAATATATAAGGCGCCCTCTCGCTTCCTCTTCGACGCCGGGGATCGAGGGGAGTGGCGCCCCCGCGTCACCCTACGCCAGACTCTCTCCCTCTTTTGCGCATTAGAGCATTCAAGGGTAAAATATCAGAGGCGTAACGGTGAATAATACATGGCAGCGGCGCTCCGAGAAAAATAGCCCAACCGTCCCAAGCGTCGGCGCGACTTCACTACTATAAAGTACAAAGTTTCGGAATAATGCTGATATATTATTTCGTCTTGGCTCGCACACTCCTTTTTTTTTTCTCTTTCACGTCCGGGGGCCGCCATTCTCGGTCGTCCTACGTATAATATACTTTGCTATGCTACTGGTATACTTTGATACGTCATGTATATATTTATTTATTCACTCGAAAAAAAGAGTCGTGGCAGGGGGGGGGGGGCAA